GAGGTCGGATTTGACCGACTGAGGTGGTGGATTGAGCTCTGCGATAAAATCGGCCACTGCTTGTCCTTTCATCGCAGTTCTGGGCTCGAACTGGATGTCGTACTCGCTCAATTCCAATGCCCACTTCATCAGACGCCCTGATGGTTTAGGCTTAAGGAAGATATTTTTCAGGGGTAAGTTTGTAAATACTACGACCGTGTGCGCTTGGAAGTACGGCCTAAGTCTTCGGGCCGAGGTGACTAAAGCAAGGGCCAGCTTCTCCATTTGGGGATATCTGGTCTCGGCCTCAGTCATGGACTTACTGGTGTAATAAACAGGGCTTTGACTCGCACCCTCCTGCTTGATCAGTGCCGAGCTGACGGCGCTAGCAGATACTGTCATATACAAATAGAGTTTTTCCCCTGGTAGTGGCTTTGCGAGTAGAGGTGCCGAGCAGAGATAGTCTTTTAACCGTCCCAGCGCTTGTTCACATTCTTCCGTCCATTCAAACGGTCCCTTCTTCCAAAGAACTTTGAAGAACGGAAGACATTTGTCTGTCGATCTTGACACGAACCTATTCAAGGCTGCGATCCTGCCATTGAGGCACTGAAGCTGCTTTAGAGTCTTGGGTGCCTCCATCTCGAGCACGGCTTTATCTTCTCTGGGTTAGCCTCAATCCCACGGTTATTTACCATAAAACCAAGGAATTTTCCCGAGGAGACTCCGAAGGCGCACTTGGTCGGATTGAGCTTCATTTGGTACTTGCGTAGCACTCCAAAGGCTTCGGTCAGATCGGAAAGATGCGACTTTGACTGCTTGCTCTTGACAAGCATGTCGTCCACATACACTTCCATATTCCGACCGATTTGCTTGGCGAACATTTTGTTCACCATCCTTTGGTAGGTCGCACCCGCATTCTTTAGGCCAAAAGGCATCACCTTGTAGCAGTACAGACCTTGGTCTGTTATGCACGCGGTGTGATCTTGGTCTGGCAAATGCATTTTAATTTGATTGTATCCGGAGTAGGCATCCATGAAGGTGAGTAACTCGTGTCCGGCTGTTGCGTCCACGAGCTGGTCGATCCTTGGAAGGGGAAAGCAATCTTTTGGGCATGCCTTATTTAGATTTGTAAAGTCCACGCACATCCTCCACTTCCCGTTGGATTTTTTAACTAATACACGTTAGAGAGCCACTCAGGATACATAATTTCTCGTATATATTCAGCTTTCAAGAGTTTGTTTACTTCCTCAACAATTACATCACTTCTCTCTTTATTTACAGGTCTTCTTTTTTGCTTTACAGGTCGGGATGATGGGTCTATGTCGAGGCGATGCACCATGATCTTCGGGTCGATACCAGGCATGTCCTCGTGAGACCATGCGAAGACGTCCGAGTTAGACCTGAGGAAGTTGATCAATTCTTCCCTGTCAGTGGCCCCTAGCTTGGTTCCTATGCTTACTTGCTTTTCGGGGCTAAGTAAAGGAACAAGCTCGAGCTCTTCTGTTGGCGGGGAGAACTGCCTTTTGCTTTCCTTTGGTAGGTCGGCCTCTGACTCCTGCAGCTTGCCACGATTAGTTTGTTCTTCAAGGGTGCATACCGCCGACCCCTTGAGTGCGGATGCATAACACTCCCGTGAGGTTTTTTGCTCACCTCGGACCGTGCCCACCCCATTCGGGGTTGAATACTTCAAGACTTGATGCAGTGTGGATGGGACGACCCGGAATGAATGGATGATGGGTCTCCCGAAGATGGCATTGTAGTCCGACTTGCCGTCGATTACCACAAACTCGGCCATCTGCGTTACTTGGGTAGCATCTTGTGCGATAGTTACCGGTAGGTCAATGCACCCTTCTGGGGAGACCGATTCTCCAGAGAATCCAACCAAAGGTGTTGGACTCTTCTTCAATTGTGACCTGGTCCATCCCAATGCTAGATATGTTGGGAGGGACAAGATGTTGGCAGATGCGCCTCCATCGACCAACACTCTCCGGACCAGGACGTGATCAATTAGGGGGTAATCACCAGTGCATCGTTGTGAGGCAAGTGGACCCCCTCCAGGTCGGCGTCGCCAAAAGTGATGGAGCAAGTGGGCTTCTGCTCCATGATGATGCACACTTCGCGCCTGGCCTCCCTAGCTAGCTCCTTTCTCTTGTTTCCGGACTGGCCCCCGCTCGGACCTCCGAAAATTTTATTGATAACCGCCGGCCGGTCTTCTCGTCGAGGCGGCGTTCTTGAACGCTTCCTCTCTTTATTTTTTTCGACCGAGTTAGACCTCGGTTTGCCCACGAATTTTTTGAAGTAGCCGTCTTGAATGAGGTCTTCAATCTAGCGCTTCAACTCCCAGTAACTTGTCGTATTGTGGCTGTGATCGGGATGAAAACGACAATACTTATCTTTGTTGCGTTTTTCTGGGTCTCCTCGGAGCTTCTCAGGTCGCTTGAGGAGTTTTTCCATCCCGCTTTCCTCGATGTTCGTGAGTATCTCGGAGATGGGGATGGTGGTTGGAGTGTACCGTTCATAAGGTCGGCTCCGGGTAGGGCCGCTCTCCGTCCTACGATACTATGTTCTGCTACTGGAGGAGGATAGTCCCTTTTCTTTGGACCTGACATCAGTCTTCCTTTTCTCCTGGCTTAGTTTTTTCTGATCGACCTGCTTTTCAGGTCGGCCAGTCTTGGTTCGGAGGAGCTCTTGCCCATCAATGACTTTTTTCGCCTTTTGCAATACTTCGGCGAAGGTGGCTGGAGCCTCCTCTCCAAGTTTTATGGTTAAGGTTTCATCGGCCAGGCCTGTGAGGAAGTAGCACATGGCCGAATCATCGGAGCAGTGCACGACCTTTAGCTGCTCCTCCTGGAACCTTGTGACATATTCTCTCAGCGTCTCTCCTTCCCTCTGCCTGATGGTGGCAAGGTGAG